CTCGCGGAAGCCGCGCCGCAGCAGTCTGCGGTAAGGGCAGAGCACGCCGTAGCCTTATCTTATAGTTCGTCCAGGTTTCCCAGAAAGCGGATCGCAGAAAAAAATATTGGTAGCTGACGTAGTTCACGTTGTCTCCTCCCCTGGCAGGCGAGGACAAAGCGCGCCGATCCGAAGTCCGTTGTCGCGGTGATTCTCGGTGGAGGTGCCGGCACGCGCCTCTTCCCCCTCACCAAGACCCGCGCCAAGCCGGCGGTACGCATCGTAGCCGTCGGATTTATGCGTCGGACCAGTGGTTAAATCGGGTTCATCTCATAGCCATGCAGCCAGATTCTGTGTCGAATGTCAGCAACTGCCGCCTAACGTCGGCTGACGTCGGCTGATGTCAGCGACTGACGTCGACTAAATATATTGCACTATTCCCGTGGTCAGGTGCCTATCGGCGGCGCGTACCGTTTGATCGACGTGCCGATGAGCAACTGCATCAACAGCGGCATCAACAAGGTGTACATTCTCACGCAGTTCAACTCCGCCTCGCTCAACCGTCACTTGGCCAGGACCTACAACTTCGGTAACGGCGTCAACTTCGGCGACGGATTCGTCGAGGTGCGTATTCGTGCGGATTCTCGTTTTTGTCGAGCATTGTCGACGTGGGTGCTCGCTTGGATCTTCGCATTCATCGGCCGTCCTTTTTGAAAAATTGTTTACGCGACGCTTTCTATGGGATTCCCGCCTTTTCTTTGTCTCCTTCAGGCTCTTGCGGCGACCCAGACTCCTGCGACGGGCTCCAACTGGTTCCAAGGGACTGCCGACGCCGTCAGGCAGTTCTCCTGGCTGTTCGAGGTGCGTCCGTCGCGCGTGAAATGCACTTGTCGCTCGCCGTTCGCTGGACGATTTCTGCACATCTTCTGTCAGATAGAGGCTTTCCTGGTACATCTTATCGAGCGCTTCATACTGTGTATCCTGCGCGGCTGTCTGATGTTGCAGGATGTGAAGAACAAGCACGTGGAGGATGTTGTCATCCTGTCCGGCGACCATCTCTACCGCATGGACTACATGGACTTCGTCCAGGTAACGCAATCCGCCAGGCCATCCTGACGCCATGTGTGCCCACTTCCTTTCCCGGCTTGAACGTTTCTGCTGTGCAAATTACTTACGCGTGTCTTGCGATGTGTACTGATTGCAGAAGCACAAGGACACCAACGCCGACATCACCATCTCCGTGCTGCCCATGGACGACAGGTGGGGGGGCAGCGCATTCCGTTATATGCCACGTCATTCTGAACATTGTTCCGCATCCCCTTGTGTAATGAGTCGCAGCGACAGTCCGTTTCGTCCTGACGTGTTCTGACGCGTCCTAACGCGTGGCACCATGCCGTTGCTCGCAGCCGCGCGTCCGACTTCGGTCTGATGAAGATTGACGAGTCTGGTCGCGTCGTCAGCTTCGCGGAGAAGCCCAAGGGCGCCGACCTCAAGGCCATGGTGAGCTCCAGAACAGTTTGCGTCGGCCTTTTGCCCGCTATTTCCACTCGCATGTAGGGTGCTTCACGTGCTTAGACACGGCATTTGTATGCATGCACTGCGAATGGCTACCACCCGAATTCGTATCGTCTAGAGGCGTGTTATTCAAATCTACGTCCCTGCGTTCCTGCCACGTGTACCAGGAGGTGGACACGTCGATCCTCGGCATTTCCAAGGAGGAGGCGGCCAAGTTCCCCTACATCGCATCCATGGGCATCTACGTCTTCAAGAAGGACATCCTGCTCAAGCTGCTCAGGTAAAGCTGCTCAGGTAACCACGCCTCGTCTGGTAACATTCTGCTCCTGCTCCTCACGTATCCCCGACACGTTACTGTGGTAGTACTCACCTCCGGCTCCCCTGCTAGTCTGTCGTTGGCGCACACGCTCCGAATGTCATGTCAAGTAACACCCTGTGTTTCTATGTGCCGCCGTTCCGCCGTTCCGCGTGCAGGTGGCGCTTCCCCACGTCCAACGACTTCGGCGGCGAGATCATCCCCGCCTCCGCTGCTGAGTACAACGTGCAGGTCCGTGCCGCGTCTAGGGCTGGTGTTGGAATACTCTCTCTTCTCTCTAGGGGGTAGGGAGTGACGAGGCGAGGTCTGCGTTCGTGGGTGGTGTGTCATTGGAGTGTTCGTCGCTGCGATTTGTGGGAATGCTCTATTCCCGCCACCACCCTGGCTCTATGCTGTCCGCATTGATTGCTCCATGCCCTTCCCCTCGTGCCCTTCCCCTCGTGCCCTTCCCCTCGTGCCCTTCCCCTCGTGCCCTTCCCCTCGTGCCCTTCCCTTCATGCCCTTCCCCCTTGCCCTTCGCCGCTCGCTCTTGGCCCCTGGTTTCTGTGCGTGCTGCAGGCGTACCTGTTCGGCGGGTACTGGGAGGACATTGGGACCATCAAGTCCTTCTTCGACGCCAACCTTAACCTCACCGACACTGTACGCCCTCTCACCCTGACTTCCCCGTCACGCCACACCGCCCCCTTATCCGCTCCCTGACACGTCCAAGCGCCGTGTATCCATTGCCTACATTGTCCACACTGCCTTGCTCTCCTCTCTCTGCTTCCGCGGGCAAGCAAGCACGTCTACACAAGCAAACCCTTCTACTAACGTCCCCCCCCCCCCCCCCCCCCGCACCCCCCACCCCATCCCCTCACCCTCACCTTCCCCCTGGACTCCAAGTTCGGTCTCTAAAACGCGTCTAAGCAAGCAAGTCTACGCAGGCTAACGCTTTCACTCCCCCCTCCCCCCCCTCTCTATCCACCCAAAATCCCTGACCCCTGCCTCCCCACAGGACGCCAAGTTCAGGTTCTACGACGCGTCCAAGCCCATCTACACGTCCCCGCGCTACCTGCCTCCCACGCAGATCGAGCGCTGCCAGGTATTTTCCCCGTCGCCTGCCGCATTGCCATGTCCTTACCATGCTGGCTGCTGCAGTTGCCAGGACCTTGCGCATTTCCTGCATTCGTTTGCTAGAGCGTGATCCTCACTTCCTCTTGACCTTCCCTTCCCATTGGCGGGTGCGTGGGTGTGGGTGCGTGGCCGCGTGGGTGGGCGGCATTGCAATGCGAGCAGGTGAAGCGGTCGATCATCTCGCACGGGTGCTTCCTGCGCGACTGCACTGTGGACCACTGCATCGTCGGCATCCGTTCCAGACTCGAGAACGGCGTCATCCTCAAGGTGAGCCTGCTGTGGACACAGATGAGGCACGGGAGCAGGGTGGTTTGATAGACACTGTTGTGTGACTGTGATGCACGAAGCAGCATGGGCGCTTGGGTGTGCTACAGAGCAGCGAGGGTGAAACTTCTGTGTATGGAGAGTACTGAGTTGTTGGTGGCTAGGCTCCCGAAGTTTTTTCAAAGCGAGAACAGAGCGCTAGGAGTTTCTGGCACCTGACTTACGAGCTTATGTGCAGGCTTTTAGTAACCCATGCATGGGGAGGAAGGGAAGGCTACATGCATGGGGTTCGAGGTGCACTCTGCTCATGGGTTGCCACGCAAGCACTGTCTTCCGGTGTTGAAGCAGATACCATGGTCTCCCATGCGCCCCTCAACCTTCAACGTTTATGCATGCCATGGCCCTCCTCCATTCCCCCTCTTGTGTTCCTCTCAATCCACATCTCTCTCCCACCCCTTTCACACACATCGTTGTCCCCGGACCTCTCCTCCACTCAGACATGATGGTGGTGGGAGCCAACTTGCATGAGACGGACAGATACAGACAGGGTTCAATCTCTCCACCCACATACCCACACACACTCCCTCTATCATGCACCCCTAGGTGTATCTCCCCTCTCCCTCTCTCATTCACCCCTAAGCATATCTCCCCACTCACTAGGACAACTTGGTGGTGGGAGCCGACTTCTATGAGACAGATGCAGAGAGGGCTCTTTCTCCCGTGACACTACACTCACTCTCACACTCTCACCTGTTGTTTCCTCCCCTAACCTCTCCCCAGGACACCATGGTGGTGGGAGCTGACTTCTACGAGACCGATGCGGAGAGGGCAGCGCTGCTCGCCGCGGGCAAGGTGCCCGTGGGCATTGGCGCAAACTCGATAATCAGGTGAGATCATGATTGAGTCTTCAAGTGGAAAGAGGGTGAGGGTGCTGAAGTGGGGTTGCGTGGGACTCTGATTCTGAGGAGCAGAATGGTGGGAGCGGAGCTAGGTAAATGGAAATGGAGGATGCGCTGAAAATGGTGGTGCTGGTAGGAAGGGAGACGTGCAACGTTGATGTGCACCATCTGATGTATGTCCTGATGTATGTCCTCTGATGTTTGTCCTCTGATATATGTCCTCTGATGTATGTCCTTATGTGCCCTATGACTGCAGCAATGCCATTGTGGACAAGAACGCACGCATTGGACAGAACGTCATCCTCGAGAACAAGGACGTGAGTCCCCCACCCTTCCCTCCCCTCCCCTCCCCTGCGGCCCTGCAACATGCATCTCTTATCTCCTGTCATTCTCCTTCTGTCGTTCTTACCCAAACCCAAACCCCAACTGTCTAGTTGGCCCTCATTCTCCTTGCGATCAAGGTGCGTTGAATGCTTCTTCAACCCTGGGCATGCCTCCATGTGTTCGACACGTGTGTCCATGTGCGTGTTTCCCCTCGGCCAGCATGTGGACGAGGCGGATCGGTCAACGGAGGGCTTCTACATCCGCTCGGGCATCACAGTGGTGCTCAAGAATGCCACCATCGCCGATGGCACCGTTGTTTAAGCAGCCTTTTTGGGTACCTTACTACCTAGCTGTTCGAAGCAACCATTCTCAGAGGAAGAATGGTTCTTGCTTGGGATGATTTGATTGTGTGTGCAAGTGTAAAACCGGTTTTGTATGAATTTGGAAAGCTTAGTAAAGAATGGTTACACCCAAATAACTAGATAAACCTGTATGGTCGTCATGTAGACTTCGACCATCTCCATCAGAATCATATATCTCAACGTGCAAACCGATTACAGTTCCTTTGAGTAATTCCTTATTCATTTGGCATATCTAGTGTAGATCATATAAAAAACGTTCATTTATCATTTTAGTTCTACATTTTACATTCACATGAAATCTGACATCCTTACCTTGTCCCTACTATTATCATCCACTGAAGATATCAACAGGGCCCGTGCAGCTAGGGCCACATGCCCCAGCCCCACAGCTGCCAGCCCCTATGGCAAACCGCAGCGGCCGCCGATTCCACCACTTCTGCCGACTCATCTCCACACTCGAAAACGAAAACTCCTCCTCTCCACTCTTAGCCGCCGCCGCCGCCCCGCTGGCCATATCCCTCGAGATGCTCAGTGCGCCCCAGTGATTGGCTGGGTCGGGGTCGGCCAATGGCAAGCGGCGGAAGCGCCTAACACGATTAATCCCTGCCATGTCATTAATAGCTTCGGAGAGGCACGTGCAGAGCAGCAGCACGAGGGGGACAGACTCGTCTGGCGCCACCTCCATTGCTGCGCCCTTCCAGTTGAGCAGCGCTGTGGCGCGCCCGTGAGGGGCATCCGGGGGGAAGCGGATGAGAGTGGCGAATCCGAGGTCCTCGACGGAGGGGGCTCCTGGCACCTTGTACTTGTGCTGGCGGCCGGGCAGTAGGAGCACCTGGTTGTAGCAGAAGGAAAGGACGTGGGGAGCAGACAGTTCGGAACAACAGGCAATGGAGGACTGGCATCATTAGGAAAACTGCATGTGAAGTGAGCCGGCATTGGTCATTGAGAAGAGTGGAGCCACCAGAAGGAGCACGGAAAACTCACCCGGCTGTTCCCCTCCTCCTCCAGGGTCAGCTGTATCCCCTGCACGAAGATAGTCGCATCAGGGCGACATTCGAGTCGCCTCTAGAACCACCCAAATAAACTCACCCGGCTGTTTCCCTCCTCCTCCAGCGTCAGCTGGATCCCCTGCACGAAGATAGTCGAGTCGCGCCGCCGCTCGATCGTCACAGTGGCGGTGCGACCGTTGGGAAGGCAGTCGAGCAAGCAGAACCGTTGGATGCTATCATAGTCATCCGACGGCTGCGGCACAGCCTGCGCCACCACGGGCCCCCGCACCACCCCCACCCGCAGGTGCGGGGGCTCAGGCTCGGGTAATGGAACAGGATCGGTCTCAATATAGCGCCACCCACCCTGAGGGAGGAGGGGAGGGGGGGAGTGGGGGGAGAAAAGGGAGAGAGACAATACAGATGTCCCCGCCTGAGATAACGACTGAGAAATAGCTTCTGCCTGTGCCACCACAGGCCCACGAACCGCCCCCACCCGCAGGTGCGGCGGCTAAGGCTCAGGCAGCGGGACAGGATTGGTCTCGATGTTGCGTCAGCCACCCTATGAGGGGAGGGGAAGGAGGAGGTTGAGGGGGAGAAAGAAGGGGAAGGGGAAGGGGAAGGGGAAGGGGATGGGGAAGGGGAAGGGGAAGGGGAGGGGGGGAAAGGGGGGGGAGTTAGCAGGAATGAGGCGAGGGCAACAGAATGCACTGGCTTTTCACCTGGTGCAGCAGAATGACCCACCTGGTGCAGCAGAATGACCCACCTGGTGCAACAGAATGACCCACCTGGTGCAACAGAATGACCCACCTGGTGCAACAGAATGACCCACCTGGTGCAACAGAATGACTTTCTCCTTTGGCTCCACGGGGACTGGTCGGTAGCGAGCATGCCACGTGCCCTTGGCCACCCTGCCACGCATTCACATTTGACACACACAGCCAGATAGCATGAGAGACATGATTGAACGCACGACAAGGAATCACCAAGCAGGGTTGCACAGCGTGCATTGAGTGCATCGAGAATGTGAGATTGTTGCTTTCGCTGCTGTGGCTGCTTTGGCTGCTCTCACTGCTTTGGGTGGGCGCACTGCTTTGGGTGGGCGCACTGCTTTGGGTGGGCGCACTGCTTTGGGTGGGCGCACTGCTTTGGGTAGGCGCACTGCTTTGGCTGGGCGCAGTGCTTTGGCTGGGCGCAGTGCTTTGGGTGGGCGCACTGCTTTGGCTGGGCGCACTGACCTCTTGCGGATGACAAAGACCTCCTTGTCCTCGTGGTTGTACACCGTGCGCGAGCCCCACCGCCCGTACTTAAGGGGGGGGCGGGGAGGGGGAAGAAGGCAATTGGAGAGGGAGGGAGAAGGGGAAGGGAAGGGACGAGGATGGATGAGAGGGAGACACCTCCTTGTCCTCGTGGTTGTACACCGTGCACGAGCCCCACCGACCGTACTGAGGGGGGGAGAAGAAAAAGAAGACAATGATTGGTCTTGCGAATGCTGGTGGTGGTGAGGCGTGGTGAGGCGTGGTGAGGTGTGGTGAGCTGCGTCACTATCGCTGGTGACTGCATCTTCCCTGTCACCCACCTCTTCTCTCCCAACTACTACCCGTGCGCTTTATCTACGTGTTCACATCTCATCTGCTTCCCCCGTCAACCCCTCAACTGCAGCCAGCCCAAGGCTTAGTTGTCTCGTTGATTGACCCGTGTGATAGTAATTTCGTTTTGAGTCGACTCAAAACTACATCTGCTGCTCGCCCAAGGCTTATGGGTACATCTGCTCTCCCCCCTCACCTGTGGCTTGAAGTCTCGCTGTATGGCGATCTCTTCGCAGATCATGGAGCCATTGTCGTCCGTGCCCCGCATAAAAACTGTTCTGAGGAGGTAGGGCGCTGGTGTGGGGGGTGTCAGAGACACCGCCACATGCACCCGCGGCAACTCACTCGCCCGCCCCCCTCCCCCACTCACCACCAACGCCCCCCCCCTCCCCCACTTCCCCCTCCCCCGCTTCCCCCTCCCCCGCTCCCCCCTCCCCCTACTCCCGACCCATCCAAACCTTCCCCCGACCCTCCTGCAGCCTTATTTCCCCCTCCCCCTCCCCCTGCCGTCCCCCCTGCCCCTTCGTCCCCATCCCCCCTGATCCCCACGGCAGTGAGCAGATCTACTGGCGCCAGTACCACCTGTCTATCCACCAGTAGAGCTGGGCGAGATAACACCTCCCCCCAGGTAATCCCTCCACTCCCAACCAGCCGCGGCCCCCACAGCCCCCCCCAGAAAGTCCCTGACTCGGCTCTCAGCTCAAAATGGAGTCCAGCTGTTGCCAGCTCAGCCTCCAATGCCCACCGCTGCCGCCACGCTGGCGGGCGGCAGCCTGGGCGGGCGGGCAGCGAGCGCGTGCGCAGCGAGAAATCATGGGCGGCGCGCTTCGTCCGGATCAACAAGAACAAATTCTCAGGATTCGTAGCATGGAAATTCAGCAGGCTCCAGACCATAAAATCAACCTCCACTGTCATTCTCGGCTCCAACCCCCTCCCAGCATTCAGCTCGGCTATGGTAAACTCCCCTTCCCCCCCTTCCAGCGGCAAAACTCGCCGCGGCGCCACCACCGGCGGGGGGTTCAGAGGCACGGGCGCCGGGCCTCGGAACATGGCTCCGGCTCGGTCGAACGGGGAGCCGTAGGTTCGGTCCCAGAGCTGCGCCGTGGCTCGGTAGGCCCACTCGAGGCGCTTGCGCGTGTTGCTGTCGATGGTGTTGGTGGAGGATGCGGCGGCGGCCGCTGCTGCTGCCACTGGCATGGCGTCTGAGTCGTCGTGGCCCAGCAGACGGTTCAGCAGCCAGTCTGTGTCCTTAGTGTAAGCTGCTGTGCACATCTGAGTGAGGAAAGGGTGGGGGGTGGGGTAGAGGGGACCACAGATCTATGTGCTAGCGGCTGCTGCTGCCACTGGCATGGCGTCTGAGTCGTCGTGGCCCAGCAGGCGGTTGAGCAGCCAGTCACTGCCTTTGGTGTAGGCTGCTGTGCCCCCCCTGATCCAAGTGAGGAAAAAGATGGGTGGGGGGGGAGGGGGGAGGGATAGAGGGGGGCACGGGTCTAGGCGCTTGCACGTGAGCTGCTGCGGCTGCTGTTGCCACTGGCATGGCGTCTGAGTCGCCGTCATGACACTGCATGCGCTGATAGCACCGTAACACACCATAGTCCTGGATACCCGTGACCATGTTACAAGCACAGCACGGCTGTGCTTTTCTTACTATGAGTGCGTGCCAGAGCAGGTCGCTGTCGTAGGTGGGCGTGAGGAGTGTTACACCATACGGACATGCCATGTTAGCTAGACGCCACAGCTCCCATTATCATGTGCGCGTGCCACAGCAGGTCGATGTCGTAGGTGGGCGTGAGGAGCGTAGCATCATACACTGATGCCATACCCCATGTCAGATAGAAGCCATGCCTGCCCGGCACCCATTATTACCATGTGCGCGTGCCACAGCAGGTCGATGTCGTAGGTGGGCGTGAGGAACGCCCCGCGGTTGAGCATGACGAGGTTGAGGAACATGCGGTAGCGCTGCAGCGACCCCTGCAGGTACTGCCTCGCCAGCATCCACGGGCGGTCCACCTGGGAGATAGGTTGAGGGAGGGGGGCGGGAGTATGGTGAAGGGGGGAGAAATCAGCAGGTGCAGCAGTAGCGCTGCAATGCCCCTGCCGCTCCAGCACCCATGGGGGGTCCACTGGCAGGTGAGAAGTGAAGGGGGAGGGGAATTGCGGGGAGAAAGATGCATCACAATTTTTTAAAAAGTGCCTCCACTATAGCGGGATCATCCTGCCAGGATGCGTAGTGAGTCGATTTTTTAGTCGACCCAAAACCCGTGTGTAATGAGTCGATTTTTTAGTCGACTCAAAAATCGACTCATTACACACGGACTCCACTATAGCGGGATCACCCTGCCAGGATGCATCACAAGGGTGAGGAACATGTGGTAACGATGCAGCGACCCCTGCAGGTACTGCCGCTCCAGCACCCATGGGCGGTCAACCTGGTAGGTGAGGGAGGCAGAGGGATGCATGACTATATACAGGAACATGTGGTGGCGCTGTAGTGACCCCTGCAGGTACTGCCGCTCCAGCACCCATGGGCGGTCAACCTGGTAGGTGAGGGAGGCAGAGGGATGCATGACTATATACAGGAACATGTGGTGGCGCTGTAGTGACCCCTGCAGGTACTGCCGCTCCAGCACCCATGGGCGGGGTGGGGGAGAGGCGGAGTAGGAGTGCGGGTTGGGGGGGGAATGGGTATGGAAGGCCAGGGGAAAAGAGGGATGAGCAAATTAAGGAGTAACGCTGCAACGACCACAATAGCTGCAGTTGCTATAGGGATTGCTGCTTCAGCACCCATAGCTGCTCACCCACCCCCATCCCCACCCCCACCCCCACGCCCTCTCAACCCCCCACCCCATTTTGCTCTCTCTCACTTGGAAGAAGAAGCTGCTCTGGCGCGCCACAGCAGCCTCCAGGTCATAACTTAGCTCCGAGGGGAGGGATGGGGGGAGGGCGGGCGGCACCACTGCTGCTGCTGCTGCATTTGTTGCTGTTGGTGATGACTGTGGCGCCGGTGCTGCTGCTGCTGCTGCTGCTGCTGCTGCTGCTGTTGGTGATGATTGTGCGGGTGCTCCTGTTGCTCCATTCCCCTGCCTCGTCCCATCAACAGCATCAGCATCCCCTGTAGTTGCACCCTCTCCTTCTCTTGCTTCACTCCCCTCACCCCTCTCCTCCCCAACACCCTCACCCGAACCACCACCGTCAGCATCAGCATTGCCAGTATCCGCAGCAGCAGCAGCAGCAGCAGCAGCAGTGGGGCCGGGGGCATCGTAGGGCTCCAGCGGGAACAGCTCCTCCCACAGCGCCCGGCACGCCGCCACCGCTGCGGCCTCCCCCCGTGCGCTCTCACTGCCCACGTCGTCATCGTCGGGGTCGAATATGGAACCATCGAGTAATCGACCGAGGATGGTGTCACAATCCTCCGCGTAGGCCTCCTGGGAAGTTGGGGAAGAGGGGGAGCAGGGGGTCATGAGTGGCATAATGCCTCGTGCTGTCACTGCCCACCGTCGTCAGTCCAGCAGGGTCGAATATAGCACCGTCCAGCAGGCGGGAGCCCGAGGATGGTGTCACAGTCCTCTGCATAGGCCTCCTGTGGGGTGAGGAGAGGGGCAGGGGAGAGGGAGCGGGGAAGGGAGGAGGTGGGAGGGTGGGAGCAGCGGAAAGGGAGAAGGGGGGGATTGTAGATGACATGTTTGCTGCAAGATGGCTGGAAAAAACTAGAGCGGACCCAGCCATCTTGCAGCAAGCACCTCACTTAACCCATGCGCATTCGCGGTTGAATGAGGCGGTGCACGAGCCACACCCACTGCACGTGCACAGAGGAAACGGGGCTAGCAATTTACCAATGGATAGGCGATACGCGTTAACAGCTCATTGATGTCCATACCGGGTTGAGGCGGTGCACTAGCCACACCCACTGCACGTCCAGCGGCGGCTGCAGCGTGCGCATCACGTCGTCTGGTTGCCCGTACGCCATGCGCAGCCAGCACTGCTCGTACCTGATGGGAAGGGGGAGGGTTGGATGGGGGGAAAGGGGGGGATGCGGTGAAGAGGCGCAAAGGTGAAAGTATCAACGGGCAGATGACGAGTCCGGCGATGACGAGTCCGGCGACGACGCGTCCGGCGATGACGCGTCAGGCCGCGCCAGCTCCGCAGCCAGCAGAGCTCCGCATCGCTCGACGCCGAACACCGCTCTGTCGCTCAACCACGGATTGCACGCCCGCTCCTCCGTTCCGGGCACACCGGTTCTGCCGCGCAAACACCGCGCCAAACGTCCTGTTAGGAATCGCGCGTCTCGGCACCTCGCTATAGTACCTCTTCAAATCCGCATTCTGGAGGCAACCGTGTCGCACCTCCTAATGGCGTCTTTAACCGCCTGCCCCGCGTACAGCCGCCCGTGCTGGTCGACGCGCCGCAGCAGCGTCATCAGCTGCTTCGCAGCCGCCGGCAGATCCACACTCACGCGCACCGCCTCCACCGCCTTCCACGCCTTGGCCATCTCCAGCTCGTCCTCCTCCTCCTCCGCCAAAAGCGGCGTCTCCATCGCCGCGTCTAACGCGGCGGCTGTTACGGCGAGCTCCTTGTTTCCCTTCTCGCCCTTGCTCTCCCGCCCGGGCTTGCCGCCGCCCGCCGCGCGACTCGCCATTCCGCCGACGCGTAAAAACTTAAGCTCGCCACTTAGTCCGGCGACGTGGCAGCGAGATTCGATTCTGAGGCGGCGCAATTGATTATGCGGGGGAGATAGTGAGCTTGTAAGCGGGATGCGGTGATAGCTTACATGGTGGAAAAGACGTCCACAAAATGCCCTTGATGGTGATGGGGCAGATAGAGGGAGAGGAATGCTACACAGTCGTAGCGAGTGTTGACCAAAGCTGCACCAAAGCAGGTGGGGCGATTATTTTCCGCCAAGCCATCAAACAGTGCTGCTCCGTTTAAGCAGCACCGATTGCAGGTACAGTTAGTCGCCTTTCACATATATCTTGCTGTATAGCCTGTGCTTTGGGATTGATAGATTTGATTACTTCGCAAGGACGAATGTTTCATATGACACATTTCAGCAGCAGTGAACACATCCTACTGAAATGCTTGTATCGCAGTCGTAGAAACCAAAATCACGGGGAGGAGCCACGCCTCCTAATCGCAGCCGTTCGTTGTTCTATCCTCTTCGACCCAGCCACGTCAGCACACACCTCACCAAAAGCCCCACATCATCAACAAACAATTCCCAAGGCGAATTCCCCCTCACCACCCTAAACAGTTTCTATCCCTGCCTTTCCCGTCACCTCACCACCCTCACACCTCTTACCGCCACTGCCTTTCCTGAGTCTCTTCTCTGACGATTCTACAGTCCGCCATTTCCCTTAGACGCTGGGGCCATGGCGACCGCGTCTCTCTCTGCGCAGGGCGCCTCGAGGTTGTCGTTTTCCAGCAGCGCGTTGACCGGCTGCTGCTCACAGCTCAAGGCGGTCAGCCTCGCCGCTGCCAAGCCGCACTCTAGCGAGAATGGCGCCGGCCGGCTCGCCGTGAGATGCGCCGGGAAAGGGGGGTTCATTCCCGCGGAGCACCGGTGGATGTACGAGGGCATCGAGAACAAGGGACCGGTACGGCCGTAGGATAGCGAAAGCGGGAGGCGGATCGTGATAGCGTATCAGAGAAAGCAGAAAAGAGGTTTATCGAGGACAGTGCGTTCTTACCCTAATATCGATTTGTTACTCAGAAGCTCCCATTGACCTCTGGCGTAGCTATGACACTGCTAGTTCTCAATGTAGTTGATCAGGTTATCCGATCGCAATGGCGCCTCAGGTACCTTAGGCGATTCACCAGGCTACTGTGGCCAGCGTTCCAGTAGTTTTCGCTAAGCATTGGCACGCATAGTTGTTCTCGAGGACTGCTAGTCGCTGCGCTAAACCTCGTGAGTGCAACGCTGGCATCGTACCTTGTGTCGACTGCTGCCAGCGGCTAGTATCAACTGCGAATCAGGGTTTTGTCGTGGACGACAGGTTCTAGAGAGTGATCAGTCTCGTGATCAGCCTCGTCGCGGCCGCGACACCCGTCTACCCGCTCCAGTTCTCGCAGCACGTAGCCAAGACACATGCCTTCCCTCCGTCCCTGCCTGACTGACTTGACTCTCCCGCCACTCCTTCCGCCCTTTCCTGCCCTCCCTCGAGGCATCGCCACCCCTTTTCTCACCCCCACCCTCCCCTCCTCCTCAACCTCCCTCCTCGTGCATCCCTCCCCCTTCCTTTCACTCTTACAGGACGAGTGGAACCGCAGGTACTATCCCAAGGAGGCGGGGCACCTGAACGCGGCGACACAGTTGTTCATTCCCCCTCGTCCTCCTCCTCCTTCCCAATGAGCCTCTCTTTCCCCAATGTGCGCATTCCCCTCATTCGCAGGACGAGTGGAACCGCACGTACTACCCGAAGGAGGCGGAGCACCTGAACGCGGCGAAGCCGTGGTTCATCCCTCCTCTCTCTTCCCCTTTCAACCCCCATGCCCGCGCATTCTTAACCCTCGCGAGCAGGACGAGTGGAACCGCACGTACTACCCCAAGGAGGCGGAGCACCTGAACGTGGAGAAGCCGTGGTTCATCGTGGATGCGGCGGACAAGCGCCTGGGCCGCCTGGCGTCCACCATCGCCAACCACATCCGCGGCAAGGACCAGCCCACGTACACGCCGTCGGTTGACATGGGCGCGTACGTCATCGTGGTGAGTGTGAAACTGCTGGAAGGTGTGTGTCGTGAGGCACCTCTGACTGCGTCTGGGCCGCCTGGCGTCCAGCATTGCCAACCACATCCGCGGCAAGGACCAGCCCACATACACGCCTTCCGTTGACATGGTCGCTTATGTCATCGTGGTGAGTGCGAGCCCCTCCCCTCTGTATTCTGCGTATAGAGGCGCATCGAAACACCACGACTGGGCCGCTAGGCGTCCACCATCGCCAACCACATCCGCGGCAAGGACCAGCCGACACGTACCCCTTCTGTCGACATGGGCGCGTACGTCACCGTGGTGAGCGTGAGATGCGTGAAATATGTATTTTGACGCGCCTCAGAGCTCGAGTTGGCGGCCTGGCGTCCACCATCTCCAACCATCTCCGCGGCTTTGTGCGGATTCCCCGTCCCCGTCCCTTGACCCCGCGTTTCCCCCTCTCCCGTTACCCATACCCCCCCCCATTCCTCCTCCCCCTGCTCATCCCCATGCGCGCAGGTGAACGCGGAGAAGGTGGCGGTGACGGGTAAGAAGCGGTCGCAGAAGATCTACCGGCGGCACTCGGGGCGGCCGGGCGGCATGACGGAGGAGACGTTCGACCAGCTGCAGGCGCGCATCCCGGAGCGCATCGTCGAGCACGCCGTGCGGGGCATGCTGCCTAAGGGCCGGGTGAGACATGGGGAAGGGGACGGGGGCTGAGTGAGTCTGTGGGTTGTCAAGCAATAAATGGGATTGGGATGGGAGCCTTCGACTAGCTGAAGGCGCGCATTCCGAGAATCGTGGAGCACGCCGTGCGGGGCATGCTGCCCAAGGGGCGGGTGAGACATGGAGGGTTGTTGATGGGGGAGGACATGGCGGGGAGTGTGGCTTTGAGGCGTTGGAGCAGCTGCAGGTGCTTCTTCTGGACAAGATTGTGGAGCATGCTGTTCGGGGCATGCTGCCCCAAGGGTCATGTTGGGTTCTTGGGTGGGGTATGCTGGCTAACGGCAGGAGGAGTTGCTTGCTCGGGGGAGGGATTAGGTTCTGGGACTGTTGAACACAGAGCCATGGTTGATGCTTGCAGTGTGATGGCTGATGCTAGCAGTGTGATGGCTGATGCTGGCAGTGTGGTGGCTGATGCTGGCAGTGTGATGGCTGATGCTGGCAGTGTGATGGCTGATGCTGTCAGTGTGATGGCTGATTCTGGCAGTGTGATGGCTGATGCTGGCAGTGTGATGGCCGATGCTGGCAGTGTGATGGCTGATGCTGGGAGTGTGATGGCTGATGCTTGCAGTGATTTTGTGATTCTCAAACTCTCCCGCTCTCCTGCTGCATATTGATTATTGAGCATACGTTCTTGTCTCTCACCTACTGTCTCTCCTACCCTTCCCACACCAGTTGGGCCGCCGTCTATTCACCCACCTGAAGGTGTACAAGGGAGAGTCGCACCCTCACGAGGCCCAGCAGCCGCAGCCCCTGCCCATTCATGACAAGCGCATCTCACTTGCTTGAGGAACACTTTTAGAAAAACATGTCATATGCCATGGGCCCTCCATGTTCTCTTGTTTCCCTTGTTCTGGTTATGTAAAGCACATCCTCGAAAATATCGAACTCGAATATGTCGCTGTACAAGTATCACGCTGGTACAGCGTTTCGTGTTTCGGGCGTTGCTTTCTATCGAAGCACCCTCAGGTACAGAATTGCCGAACACTGACACGGGTTTGCGGACATGCGTCAGACGACATGTCGTGAACAAGCGAAGTGACGACAACCTTTTTTCATTCACAGTTTGTGCACCAATCAAAGGACCAGAAACGGCCGCGCTCTGCAGATGTCAGTGGTGTTGGCGGTTCGAACTTGAGGGGAATCAGCGACTCGGTACAAATTGACCTATCCAACCCACCACACATCTCTCCTCTCGGACAAATGCAAATTCGCTCCATTGTGACGCATCGCACATGTGTGTACACACCAAAAATAAATAATTAGTCCCTTCATCTCCCCACCCTCCCCTCCCCTTCCTCCACTTGCTTCAATTCTGCGGCCGAAGTGAACCCACATTGCAAGTCTCACGCGAGGAAAACACGCAAAACCATAAGCTCATGCCAGAGATGGCATCAGCTCGTGCGCGCTTAGCTCATGTATGCCGCACATGCAAGATATATCCTCCTGGCGTGATGTCGTTCTCTGCCGGCCAACCATGTTTCCCTTCGCTGCCTAACAGGTGGACGTGACTCCAAGTTGGCGATTCGTGAACAGTACAGTACAGTACCAAGCACCCTCGCGCACCCCCTGCCGTCCCGGCTGTAGCTTCCGTACAGTAGTCGCGACTGAGGCGCTTGCATGCACGGCTTGGAGCTGAAGGCCGTCTGGCGAGAGGCGAGAGAAAATGAGACCCAAAATGAGAAGGCATTTGTCACCTCTACTAGTAGAGTTCCCAGCACTGCTGGCAGCCCCACCCACACGATCTCGTTTCAACCCGCTCTCCCTTGCGCTGTTGTGCTCCCATCCATCCATGGTTTTGCACCTGGCAGGGTGTTTTTGGGAATTCTCGGAAACACCCTGCGTTGTAGCGTTCCGATCCATCCCAAGCTTGCTTCTGCCCCCACCGCAATCGGCGGTCTACGGCAGCGGCGTTCTCGGCGTTACGGAGTCGAGGACGGATCGTACGGCGGCACACTCGACGGTAGTTCCGGCGTGGGACGCATAAAGTCGCATCGCCCGCATCGCAACGTATAGCCCAGCACAGCGATGATGAGCTGTCAGCTCTTTAAGGGCACGCGCCGCGCGTGGTCCGTCCACGTGGCAGCCGCGCTGGGCGTCCTCGTTTTGCTGCTGGTCTGCGCGGTACGCCTTCCATTAGTAGTGCTCTGCGACTCTACCAAAGCCTGTAACTAACTCTCTTTCTCCTGTAACTACTCCGAAAAGAATATTATAGTCGCCGTGTCTCTTCGTCGCCGTGTCTCTTCGTCGCCGTGTCGCTTCGTCGCCGTGTCGCTTCGTCACCGTGTCTCTTCGTCGCCGTGTCGCTTCGTCGCCGTGTCTCTTCGTCGCCGGTCCAGAAAGGCTCTAGAAGGGCGATTATGGAATGGTGTCTTCTCCCCTTCTTATTGTCCGTCCGCCTCCCCCCCCTCCCCCTCCATCGACCACACCCTCAGTCAGCGCGCATCCACGCCGTTCCTCTTTCGAGTCCACTCAAAGTCACCTCGTCCTCCCCCCCTCCCCCCTCCCCCCTTCTGTAAGGTTTGTTTTGAGACGTTTCAAAACAAACCTTATATCAAAAGTCACCTCGTCCTTCCCCCTCCCCCCTCCCCCCTTCCCTCCCCCCCTCCTCCGACCAGGCCCTGAGTCAGCGCACATTGACTCCGTTCCTCTCCCCGCTCATCGCCTCTCGCCCCCCTACCGCCGCGCGATGAGCCGCGGGAATCCGCTGCACTGCCGGCTGCGATGCACCCCCCGCCGCAGCAGCCACTGGAGCAGCATCAGAGCGTGAGGCCGCGCGTGGGTCTGGTTCGAGTGGGGGCAACAGGGGCGGTGCAGTGGGTGGGTGGCGCGGGGGCGACGAGTGGCGGGGGGGGCGACGAGTGGCGCGGGGGCGAGGAGTGGCAGCTGGGCGGAGTGGGTGACGTCACCACGCTGGAGCAGCTCACGGTGAGCCTCTCAGAATCGCTCTGTACCGCACTGAGCCGGATCGTCACGAATACCCACTCTCGCGCTCCTCTGTTCTCCCCTCTCCGTGTTGCTGTATACCTGTGCCTGTGCCTGTGCCTGTGCCTGTGCTTGTGCCTGTGCCTGTGCCTAAGCCTGTGCCTGTGCCTGTGCCTGTGCCTGTGCATGTGCCTCTCTCTGCGTGCATGTGCATGCGTGTGTGTGTGTGCATGAGTGTGGGTGTGTGACTGTGGGTGCGGGTATGCATGTGCGTGTGTCCTGTGGCCAACAGCGCTACACGGAGAGCACGGAAGCGAGGCACAGGCGGGACCAATTGGATGTGATTACAGCGAGTGTGCTCGAAGCGGAGGCGGAGCAGTGGAAGCAGCGCACCTACCAGTTCAGGTAGCTATTGGATTGCAGTGCCAGATCAGGTGCTGCTACGGTTCTGTGGTATTCACTGCGGTGTACATTCAATACTTTCAATGCGGGGGAGAGACCTTTCCATCCCCCCACTGTCAATCACCCTTTCCATCCCCCCCTGTCAATCACCCTTTCCATCCCCCCCTGTCAATCACCCTTTCCATCCCCCCCTGTCAATCACCCTTTCCATCCCCCCCTGTCAATCACCCTTTCCATCGCCCCCCTCATCGTCGTTGCATTGAAAAGTCTAACTCCGACATTGTTGTTGCTAAGGATGACATCGCCATTCGCGAGCTGGATCGACAGCGGAAGCAGGCCGCCGAAGACTTGAAGAAATCTGCTGCAGCGGAGGAGTTGAAGGAGATGGAAACTGAAGCGACGTTCGACGAACTCCTCAAGAAACACTCGACGAAGATGGCTGGCATGCTACGCAAGGAGATTACAGCGGACGTGCTCGCTACCTTACTGAAGAAATTCAAGAAGGAGTTCGGTCTGGGTCGACAGGAACCTACGTCGTCCTCCAATGCGGATCCGAAAGACAAGAAGGAGCAGGATGGTGTCCCTTCTAAGTCTAAGAAGAAGCGCGGAGGGAAGAAAAAGAAGCAGAACTCCAACGGCTCCAACGACCAGCGAGGGAAAGGCGATTCTAATAATGTTTCTTCTGCCAAGGGATAAAAAAACGGCGGAGGCGGCCCCGGAAAAGGGCCGCGCAAGAACTAACGAGCCATGATCTGGCTCTCCGCTGGTTCGGTCGAATGACGTATCGGCAGGCGACATCACGCGTCCTGAACCAGGGGGTACACAACCTCAGCGCCAAGATCTTGTCTTCGGATGAGAAAACGGCGCTTGGGTTGGGTTTGAAGTTCATCCCAACGCCCGCCAGATCCTTTTCAACCGAGGTGGAGCTCGATCAACTACTTCGGCAGACTTCCCTTCACTTTTTCTTCAACGAGCCAGGTCGATGCAGCCGGGATTCGCGTTTCCGCGTACGGAATCCTGGCTGGATCCCTGATGAGAATCCAATTCCAGAGCAGGTTTTCAGGGATACGTCTTCGGATCTTTCCTTTCTGCTGAAAGCCAACAGACCCAAGCGATCGCGGAACATCAACGTCGGCGTCGCACGGGCTCTGCGTTCCATTGCAGCTGATTCCAGCGTGGTCATCAAACTGGCGGATAAGAACCTGGGCGTCACAGTGCTGGATAGGAATCACTACATCGCGCTCTGCCTCGAACATCTTGGCGACCGAAGTACCTACGTTCCAGTCCGCACCAACCCCACGGATGCTGTCCTCCAACAACTACGCGACTTACGAGCTGTTTGGGGCCCTGCTCTTCGAGACAGTTATGGAGGTATTTCTTACATCAACCGAGCGGAGGCTGGAGGCCAGCGGCGTTCTACATCCTACCGACACTCCACAAGGAAAACCTGGCGGGGCGGCCGATCGCTGCTTCGCACTCCTGGGTTACTACTAACGTCAGCACTTGGTTGGATGCTGAGCTACGACCACTGGTCCTTAAACAACAATCCTACCTTCGTGACTCCCTTTCGCTGCTTCTGGAGCTAGAACGAACGACTCTTCCACGAAATGTTCTTCTGGCAACGTACGATGTTTCCGCGCTCTACCCCAGCATACCCCTGAGACGTGGACTCGATGCGGTTAGCGGCTTTCTACAGAGGGAGCGGTGTCACAATGCACTTCTGGTCATGGCCCTGCTGGAGTGGGTCATGCTGAATTCTTACGTGGAGTTCAACGGCGATATCTACTGTCAGATCCAGGGAACTGCTATGGGAACTCCTGTGGCGGTCTGTTTCGCGGTGCTTTTCATGAGCCGACTGGACGAAGTGCTGAAGCAGAGGTGGACTGGGACGCAGCCCATTCGACACGTCAGATACATTGTCGATGGGTTCATCGTCTGGCCGGGGTCCAGAGATGAGCTGGAACGTTACCTCAACACGTTCAACAGCCTTGACCCGAACATTAAATTGACGTGGCACGTCTCGGAGCAATCAGTAGACTTCCTCGACATGGTTTTGTTCAAGGGGGATGGTTTTGCTGACTCTGGTACTTTGGACTTCCGGACATTCCAGAAGCCCATGAACCAGTATCTCTACCTACCATTTTTGTCATACCACCCACGTCACTGCAAGATCGGGTTCATCCAAGCTGGACTGAAACGGTACCTACTCCGTTCGACATCAGCTTCGGCCTTCCTCGCGACGAAGCATGCTTTCTTCTACAGGCTTCGTGCACGTGGTTACCCACCGGATTTCCTTCAACCCATTTTTCGGAGTCCTCTTTCGCCAACGTGGTTCTCTCATAGAACAGATCTCAGCGCCCCACTCACTTAAGCAACAACAACCAACAGCCCTTCCTCATCGCGGACCCCTAGTTTTGAAGACGGTGTTCACACCTTCGACCGCTCGTCTCAAGCTAGGGGTACTTTTGAGGCGCCTCAAAAGTCGTCTCCTTATCCGCGGATTTAATACAGGAAGAATTTTGGTTGCTTGGAAGTGTGCACGTAACGTGCAACAACTTTTGGTTCGCGCGAGGTTACCACATGCAGGTTCCAAGGCTCCCGAGGACAAACCCGAAGAATGACAGGGCACCTAGGTTTTGTCCACAGTGCTTTGTTGGCTTACTTCTTATCTAGTTGTGGGCCCGGGTAGGATTTCCCCAGAGTAGATCTCGAGGCTTGGGTGTCTTTTTAAGACCCCTCGCTCTGAGGTTTCTTTTTCATTACTAGCTCATGCACTGATGAAGGTGCTGTGGGTTTGATCCCCACCACCGAAACATGTTTGCTTGTTGATTCAATTCACGGGCCGGTTGAGGAACTTTTTCGAGTTCACCTATTTTCTGAGGGTACAAGTTTTTTCTAACTGTCAGTTTTTTGCTAACGCGACCTTCCTACGCTGCTGCTACTCTTCCATGACAACTAATCCTTTCCATCCCCCCCAGTCAATCACCCTTTCCATCGCCCCCCTCATCGTCCCCTTTTCTTCTGTCCTCCTCTTCCCCCAGCGCCTATCGCATCAGCCCCTCCCGCTTCGTCGTACTCGGTATAAGCAACCTCGATTTCATCTGGGTGAAGGAGGGCGAGGGCTGCCGGTGGGTGGGCTGAGACAGGAGTACAGTGAGCGGTTCTGTGCGCTACCGCGATTTCATGCATCCTAAATCGACGATAGCTTTCTCTTCTGCTCTTCTCGCTAAAGTTGCAGGCATTTTGTGAGAATTCTCTATTGTTTTTTTTCTTTCTTTAAGGGAGAAGAAGCTTTCAGAGTTGCTTGCTGGAGCCACACAACTCCCCTCCTCACGCCCCTTTTTCCTTCCTTTCCCCCTCGCCCGGCCGCCTCCCCTCCCCGTCGCCCTTGCAGATTGACTCGCTAGCAGCGTTCTACCAGCTGGCAGGCAACACCTCCCGGGGGGGCGGCTATCTCGCGATGACCATGGATGACGTGGAGACTGCTGTCTTTAAGGAGGAGCCGGGGGAGGTGAGTGGGTGAGAAGTTGGGAAGGCGAGAAGTGGGGGAAGTGAGATGCGAAGGAGGTGCTGTGTGCTGTCTAGGGTACCAGGTTGGGCGGACGACTCGTCTGAGCTGGGCGGCTGTCTGTCTGGCAATGACCACGGATGACGTGGAGGCTGCTGACTTCAACAAGGGCTGGGTGAGATGCGGTTGAGGTGGGTGAGATGCGGGGAGGTGGATGAAAGGAGGCTGCCGTCTTGACTTAGTGGCTGGGAGAGGTGAGAAGTGGGGGAGGTGAGACCAACAAAAACGGGGGTGGAAGGCTGGTCTCCCACACTAGGAGCGCTCCCTGCCGCACTGAGATTGGTGCCTGGTACGGCTGGTCCCACCCTTGGTCACCTCACCCTTCACCTCTCTACCACCTCCTTTCCCCACCGTTCCCCAACTGCAGCCTCCTCCAGACGCCACCCCCCCAGTCGCCACCTCTCCGCGCACGTGACCTGGTGCTCCCTCCTCTCCTCACCACCCCAACTAGCCTTACCCACCCCACTCCCCCCGCCCCTAATGCAGCCTCTGCAGCCCCCCCTAGACGCCACCATTCTGGTGCACCTGACCTGGTGCTCGCAACCTCTCTACAGCGCTCTTGATGCCAGCGCAGTGTGGGAGTGTGATCCCTGCGCGTGCGTGCAGGTGTGCACCGCTTCCTCTTCTCCCCTCCCTCTCCTGACCACCCCAACCTGTCTTACCCCTCCCCTCCCCTCTGCGCCCCCCTCCCCTCTCCTCCCTCCCCTCCCCTAATGCAGCCTCTGGAGCCCCCTCCAGACGATTCCTGCCCGTGCACTTCACCTGGTACTCGCAGCCGCTCTACGGCACTCTTGATGCCAGCACAGTGTGGATATGGGCGGAGTACCACCGCGTGCGCATGGGCGTCGAGCGCTTCCTCTTCTACGACATGGCAGCATGGACGCCGCTGCTCACGGCGCTCTTCTTGCCCTACTTCGCTGCGGGGATGGCTGCTGTGACTGACATGGCGGGGGCATCGCCTGGGGTTCTTTGCAGGGGGCGATCTGCTCAAGTTTGTGACCAAGCATCAGGTGGGTCGGCAAGCACCACGTGGGTCGGCAAGCACCAGGTGGGTCGGCAAGCACCAGGTGGATCGGCACGAACCATGACGAGTCGCTTGTGATGCAGCTCGAGCACTTCTAAGGATTCAAAGACTAGTCTAGGTTTCGCTCAATAAGGTTGTGTTGAGGATCTTCGGAACGCGTTGGTGCCATCGTTGAGAATTCGCAAAAACACAACTGATCCTGTATCCCACCACCCCACCCATGTCAGACCCTGGCCAACAACGACTGCATTTTCCGCTCCCTAATGACCTCCCGCTGAATCATGCTTCACGACACCGACGAGTTCCTCGCCCTCGTGCCGCCGCACTCCCTGCCCTCGCTCCTCGCCGCCCACCACGACGCCCCATGGCTCTCCCACGGGTCTCTTGTCATGGACCTGACAGTCTGTGCTCCAGGGGATGTGAGGAGGAGTGAAGGGGGGAGCAACGAGAGCGCAGGGACAGCCGTGGGGAGGAGCGAAGGGGGGAGCAACGAGAGCGCGGAGAGAGCCGTGGGGGCGAGTGAAGGGGGGAGGGAAGGGAGGAGTGGCATTCGGGAGCGTGGAGCAGATGCAAGCAGCAGCGAGCGGGTGGCTGCGGCGAAGCGGAGGGGGGTTGAGGTGCTCACAAAGGTGGTGTTTCGGCGGCCAGACGTGTGGTGCTTGCGAGACGGCGCCCTGGAGCGGATCGACCCGGAGTTGTGTGAGGACTGGCGGGGCCACTGCAAGCTGATCGTCAACCCGAGAAAGGTGAGAAGGGGGGGGAGGAGATGCAGCCAGCTCACAATGAACCCCAGGAATGCGACAGGAGAGGAGGGCACGGGGGACGTGTGGTGTGTGTGGATGGGGAAGGAGTTGCTGCGATGGGGCGGAGGGGGAGAGAAGGGAGGGAAGTGAAGGGAGGAAGAGAGAAGGGAAGGGAGAGGGAGAGAAGGGGAGGGAAGGGAGTCAAGGAAGCAAAACTTCAATCCTCTCCAGACCCCACTCATGGCCATCCACGCAGCTCGCGGGCCACAGACAGTGTGGTGCTGAACACCCGTCGTTCCCTCTCCACTTCCCTCTCATTGACACACAGACGCTTCTTGGGCAGACGACGCCGAGACCCTCAGGTCCTCGCTGGGCTACTGCTTCATCCTTGGTTCAGATGCCGTCTCGTGGAGAGCTACCCGCTCCTCGTCTGTTGCCCAGTTCAGCTGTGAGGCCGAGATCTACGCCGGTGCCATGGCGGCACAGGAGCTCCGCTGGCTGACCTTCTTGCTCACTGACTTAGGTGAGCGGCCTAGCTCTGCCCCGGTCCTGTTCGCTGACAACAGGGCCATGATCCTCCTGTGTCAGGAGCCTCGACTCGAGGGCAGAGCGAAGCACATTCAGCTACGGTACTTCCTCCTGCATGAGCTGCACCAGCGTCGCCAGGCTCGTGTAGTACAATTGGCCTCCGGTGCCAACACAGCTGATATCTTTACGAAGGCGCTTGCGCCTAAAGATCATCAGCGGCACTGTGTATAGCTGGGTCTCGTTCCTGTAGCCCCTCACTTGCTAGGGCCTTGACTTTGTACTGTCCTTTATATATATATTTTACCCTCACTGGCCTTGTGGCCTCTCCCAGTGGCTGGACTAGTATTGACGTCCTGGTCTTGCTCTTGCCTTGTCTGTACTCCTTTTGACTGGTCTTTAGACCCTTGTCTCAGAGGTTGGACTAATAGTGCCACCCTGAGCTGCTTCTTCCCTTGTTAGGCACTACCCCTATATAGTATAGGGGATGTGTCAAATGTAACTCAGGTCATTACTGTAGACTATACTGGATTGTACCTTAAAGGGTACAACACCCTAGTCTATATATCATTGTACTCACACATTCTAGTTCAATTATTCTTTCTGATACTATTTGCTGACGTCATTCTACGGATGCTAACTACAGTGATGTCGCCATGCAGCAAGTGAAGGACGCCCTGCATGCTCGCCTCAAGTGCAAGGACCTGGGTGAGCTCCAGCACTATCTGGGCATGACCATCACCCGGGACCACACATCACGCACCATTACCCTCTCTCAGTCCTTCTACATCGTCCAAGTCTTGCAGCGGGTCGATATGGTGCAGGCCAAGCCGGTTACCACTCCCCTGCAGACCGACCACCAGCTTGCCCCTCCTCCTGCTCCCTCCTCCTCTGACCATCCTTACGCTGAGCTCGTCGGTTCGCTGATGTACGCTATGATGTGCACCCGCCCCGACCTTGCCTACCCCATCCGTGTTCTTGCTCGCTTCGTCGGTACCGGTCGCCACACTGATGAGCACTGGGCTGCAGCGAAGCGGGTACTCCGCTACCTCCGTGGTACCAAGGACTATGTCCTCACCCTCGGAGGCTCTTCTCCTCCCCTCTTCTCTGGCTTCAGTGACTCCTCCTGGGCTGACTCCCAGTCCGATCGCCGTTCCTCTCAAGGCTACTGCTTCACCCTTGGCAGCGGCCTCATCAACTGGCGCTCCACTCGCTCCTCCTCCGTCGCCCTCTCAGCCTGCGAGGCTGAGCTCTATGCTTGCACCATGGCCGCTCAGGAGGCTCACTGGCTCACCTTCCTCCTTGCTGAGATCGGTGTTCCTCAGCGTTGTCCCACTCTCTGGTGCGACAGCGCCAGCACCATCCATCTCACAAAGGACCCTGTCTTCCATGGCCGCTCCAAGCACATTGAACTCCGCTACTTCTTCGTTCGGGAGTTGGTCCAGGAAGGTCACTTGGTGGTCCGCAAGATCGCTGCAGAGGCCAACTTGGCCGATATCTTCACCAAGGCCCTCCCGAAAACCACGCACTCTGCCCTCCTCCGCCTTCTCGGCCTTGGGCCCCGCCCCCCTTCCTGAGTCTGCGGTTGTACCCTACATATACACTAGCTTTGCATGGAGTTGAGAGATAGTGTAGGAGAGTGGATAGATAGTGTGGGAGACTGGAGAGATGGTGTGGGAGAGTGGAGAGATAGCGTGGGA